CATCGCCGTGCTGCTTAGCCTGTGCGCCGTGGGACTCGCCCCTCTGACGTTCAGCAACAAACAGGTAACATTCTAGTACCACAAATCTTGTTGTTCAGCTGTTTTTCTGCTTCACATTCTGTTATTTTTTTTTTCTTCTTACGTTCGGTATTCTGACGTGCGTAAATACGTTTGTAGGAAATTTCTCAATTGTCGACAACTGTGAAACGCGACCTGCGCCAACTGGCCAAAACTGTTGACGCCTTGAAACGCGATCAAGACGCCTTAAAACGCGATCAAGATGACATGCGCAAACTTTCCGCAAGTGTTGACGCACTTCGAGCAGAGCTGAAGCAACTTTCCCAGACAAGAACGAGTGGTTCTGAAGGCAAGTTATCTTTGTTAAGAAATTAAATAACATAATTCCTACAGGTTACATTTTTTTCGCTTGGGTAACCCAGGATCTTCAAATATTTTGCCCATGCGCCTTGGAGAGGAGAGGACACATTGTTTCTAAAAAAAAAACTCTGCCATAACTACTGGAGGCTACACGTGTAAACAAGTTTATCTGTGCTCAATTATAGCCAATTATAGCAGTCAAACTAGTTATCAAATTAATCTAACGTCTCCTGTTCGCACTTATTACATAGGTACATTATGTTACGTATCAGTATGTTACAATAACTGTACACTACACCGTCTACCTCTGCCAACAACACAGACTCCGACAAGCCCCAAGACTGTCAGGACATCCTTGACAACGACGAGACCACGCCCAGCGGCGTGTACATGGTTTATCCACGGGACAACCTGGGCGGCTTCAACGTCTTCTGTGATATGGACACGGACGGAGGCGGCTGGACGGTAAGTCTGGTCTGAAAACTATAATTTCTCAATGCACAATACAGCTGCATTTGTGGCTATAATTTTCTTTTATTTGACGGAGAAGTTTTATTTCATTGAGAATTTATTGAGAAGTTTTGTTTAAAGGTTATCTTTTTATACCTTCGTGTGTAAAATATTGTTTTGGGAGGATAAGCTGTGAGTGTGTGTGTCTGTGCCACTAGTGTAGGATGACAGCACGTTGGTGGGGGATTGACAGACAGAATTAGAAGATGTTAAATGTCTCAGAGGTTGAAGGACTTGACCTGAGGAATTCAGCAAGTCGAGAATTTATTCTCAATCTCGGATATTCTTGTTGCTCTCAAAGTTATTCCAGAGACGCCGAGACGGAAGCGAGGACTTCTACCGGGGCTGGGCGGACTACAAGACCGGCTTCCCTTCCAACCTGAACGGCGAGTTCTGGCTGGGGAATGACAACTTGTACCGCCTGGCTGTGCAGAAAGTCTACCAGCTCAGGGTGGATATGGAGGATGCGGAGGGAAACACGGCGTACGCCGCTTACGACACGTTTGCCATCTCACCTGAATCACAGAACTACAAGCTCCACATAGGGACTTACAGCGGTACTGCAGGTAAGGATGTGCTCGTATCATGGCATCGTAGAAGTGTGTAGGCAACATGACTTTGTTTTTGAACTTATCTCAATGATACTATTTTTAAACTAAATGTAATCTGTAAAATCTACGATCATTGTATACACATATATATTCATTTTCGAGTATAAAAATCTTGTTAAAAGACTGTTGCTGAAAAAGACAACTTGAATACAATGTTTGACATAATTATGAAACGGATTCATTGCAATATCGTTAAAGAAATAACTAATGCCAATACGCATCAACACAAAGGAATACCTCGTCTTTTTATGTGGAGTAAATGTCTGTTTTTGTCACAGGAGACAGCTTGACGTACCATGACGGGAAACCATTCAGTACCAAGGACAGAGATAACGACGAGATCACCTCCAGCTGTGCTCAGTGGTACAAAGGTGCGTGGTGGTACACGTCAGGTTGCCACTACTCCAACCTGAACGGCCTGTACCACCTGGGTACTCATGAGGGTAACAGCGACGGCGTCAATTGGTACCACTGGAAGGGTAATAACTACTCCCTGAAGCGCACTGAGATGAAACTCCGACCAGCTCCATAACGTCATACATTGTGTTTTTTTTTTTTGTGTGTGTGTATCTCCTACGAACTAGGCGTTCAAAGGTGCGTGGTGGTACAACAATTGCCACTACTCCAACCTGAACGGCCTTTATATATATATGTATACATATACCACCTGGGTACTCATGAGGGTAACAACGACGGAATCACCTGGCGCCACGGGAAGGGTCATGAATACTCCCTGAAGAGCACTGAGATGAATCTCCGACCAGCTCTATAATGTCACACATTGTGCATTTTTTGTGGGTATCTTCCTAGGACCAAACATTGTATGGTCCTGGAAAGATACCCACAAAAAATTCACAATGTGTGACATTATAGAGCTGGTCGGTAACATTGTAAGCAGTTTGCAGTGTTTGTGCTATTTTTTTATCTAAATAACAAAAAAAAAACATAAATACATACAAGATGACGCCGCACTCAAGTTCCATGGAACTTATATTAACGGAGCCATCTACACAAAATGTTTGAACAAAGATATACCGATTACATGGAAAAATATACTGATTACATAGAAAAATGTGCAATTTCTTCTGCAATGATGTGATTTTTCTCTCATTTTACATGAGCATGGCTCTGAGGCTAACATTGCAGGTCATCAATCGTATTGCTGTATGTTACCAGTAGTGTTCATTATGATCTCACAATCAATAGAAGAACACAGTTAAGCTTTTTAAAACACATAATAATCATTACACCATAAAAGGTTGTCATCAGTAGAAAGGAGGTCATTTTTAAACATATAATAGTCCTTACGCTAAAAAAAGGCTAAAAAGAGCGTTCCTTACAATGAAATTGAAATGTAGTTTTTTATTTAAAAAACGGACTAAAAGCATAGGACATTTTGAACAGCTATGTTATATATGTACTCAGCCAGGCCTGTACTCAGCCTTAACATTTATCTCACAAATTTAGATTATTTCTAAGAGAGAAACTTTCTAAGAGAGAAAAATACAAGGCATCCTTTTATTGCTGTGATAGAGAAAATGTTAACATTTGGCGAAGGAATGTGGTCTTGGAACTCTAGTCGGACATGTTTGATCACTCCAAAGGTCGTCTCTTTACCGTGATGATATTGTGGTATCCAATGGTATCTAGTTACATCTTGGGGTTTGTTATGTGATTGACGTATTTATGGGTTCACCACACCACGAAGTGATGTGGTGAAACCATATTGCTTTTTCTGATGTTTCTTCTCCTCCTCCTTCTCCTCCTCCTCCTGCCATATCTTTAAACGGATTCAGCTTCTTCATTTTAGGGCCTAAGGTCCTGAAATTTGGTATGGAGGTACAGTGGGCAAATACCCCTAGGCGTTTTTTAAATGTTTGTGATACAGGCTTTTAGAATGGTTTTATTTGAGTTTTTTGGCTGTATTATAGCTAATGTATTACTGTGTTAGTGTGCCATGTTTACCACGTCTGGGCATGAGTCATCACAATGGAATGCAGGGCATCAACCAATAGGCATGCAGCTTTCCTCTATACTTCTTGCTGATTGGCTGTTGAAATTTAACTTGATTAACACCTGCACACTGAGCATTTCCACCTGCACAGAGCATTTCTTGCTGATTGGCTGTTGGGATTTAACTTGATTAACACCTGCACAGAGTATTTCCATACTGACAGTATGTCTTTATTCAAGTGTTTTGGTAGGTATTTCAAGCTTTTCTGCTCCAGCATTGGAATGCGGGGCATGAACTTTTTTTTTTTATTTTGAAAATCAACAGTTTGCATTATGCAATTAAAAATCCTAACCAATAAAGTAGGGAATAGCTATCCAACTGTTGTTTTAGTTGTATGTTACTTCATATTATAGTTATATCAATGTAAATCATTGTTTCCCTTGTGTTTCTCATTCTTTCCCTGCCATGTGGTAAAATGTGGTGAACCCATCGCTGTATTTGCTCCAAAGCAAATATTGGCCTTTCTAGTTAAAAATGTCTTTTACTGTGTGATACCTTGAAAGTACCATTGATATCTCTGAATTTAATGGTAATGATATGTTATATGGCCGTTTCTTTTTGTGTTTTCTTTTATAAATGTCCAATGGTTTAGTTACTCTTACCGTATATTTTGAACAGCACAATAGTGAGTGAAATGTACACGCCGCAGATTTGCATCTTCTGCTACAAAATGTAAGAAGCCACATGTGTATTTCTTTCAGAAACTTAGGCCACACTGACATATATATACCATTACCACTACCACGAATTGATTTTGTTACCTCTTTGAGAGTAAATCTTAACAATAATCTAAAAAGCAATTGTATTTTAGAAGTATGTCCATAAGTAATTTATAAGATGTAAATTTATTGGTTCATGTGTAAATCTTAACAATTACTTAATATTATGCATTCGTATTTTATAAGTATGTCTATTTATAACTGAACCCTACCAGACATTGCTACATATGAATATTGCTTTGTATAGCACTTGAGTGATTGTCCTTAGAATTTGTAATGATTGAACACGCCAATTTTAACGTTGTATTATATCGTAACGATTTTCACTCTAAATGTTTAACTACTTAAATCAGACTGACACGTTTGTAAATCGCCTCACAATTCAGCCCGTCACGGGTGCCAGGAGGCATTCATGTAAGGCCACACCAAGTAAATTTTATGGATGGCGCCCGCGCGCACATTGATTTTGGCCCGTTCCAAGAAAAAAAAAAGAAATTCCGCTTCCTGTAACTATGACCACGGTGGTCAAAATTGGGCCTCGATCTCCCCACCTGCAGTAGAACCCGAACCATGTTCGATCTGACGTAATTCGAATAGAACGGTGTTCGAAATGGGGTCACCCGCGGTCATTTACAGTAAACCTGGGTCTTCAGGCCCCTTTTTACATGGGAACCTCCTAGCAGAAAAAAACCCACCTTTTAACAAATATAAACCATTTCCTGGACAACTAAATGTCTGCCTTCATTTTGTAGTGGGCTGGAACATGAAACGAAGCTACTGCCGTTATTGTGGGTGACCTTGAAGATCGCAATGCTTGTAGTGTACTCAACAGCCTAAATAAACACTCTTCATATTCATGCCCTATGACATGCGTCCAAAACTCGTTTAAGATTGGAAGCATGGAGAGTCCAACATATCTCATTGACGGCTCAAAATAACCGTAACGGGTTTGTCCAGAATCGTGTCTTAGGGATTTTGGAAAAAGGACCTTGATTTTGAATTATGAGCAATTGAGTGCGAAAAATGTCAAAAAATGCCGTTTTTTCACATTTATGTCGACAAAAACTATACTTAAAATCAGAAATTAAAAAATTCCTAAGACACGATTTTTGATCTTATTCTTAGTCGTCGAAAAATATAAAAATCGGGGATCTTGGGTAACATACGTAGCCAATCTTAAACGATGTTTGCCTAAAAACATGACTCGGACTGTCTCGGACTGGCGCTACATATCCCGCAAAAAATCGTCTTTTGGAGCGAGATTTTTCCATATGCCTGTGGCTATTGACAGGATCGTCCTGTCAATAGCAGAAAATATTGCACTGCTGACAGGATCGTCCTGTCAATAGCAGAAAATATTGCACTGCTGACAGGATCGTCCTGTCAATAGCAGAAAATACTGCACTGCTGACAGGATCGTCCTGTCAATAGCAGAAAATATTGCACTGCTGACAGGATCGATAAAATTTTGGTATTTTTATTTCGTACTGGAAATTTTGGGGTGGGCGCTGGTTCGTGTAGGTCTTATGTAGATGTTATTATGTATGCTATTAGGCCATTTTTTACGATCCTGCGCTGTGGCCCCTGCAGATCGTCGTGCATACATTGATCCGCCGCTCGGTAGCGCGCACCTGGCCTCCCGTAAGCAATGCGGCGGCAGTGCGTGCCTGTCGCCCCGACTAGCCTCTACCAGGCACCGCGGATCGCTGGAAAAATAGTAGAAATTGGCCGAAATAAAGGGAATAAGGTCGGCTAACTCCCTTGGTATATATTCCCTTTATTTCGGCCAATTTCTATTATTTTTCCAGTGATCCACGGTGCCTGGTAGAGGCTAGTCGGGGCGACAGTAAGCGCTAGCCATTACAGCCGGCGCCACGGGAATGACACAGCGGTCCACCGGCGGGTACCAGTCGGGCTAGCCTGGGTGCCACCCCGCGCGCGAGTGTCTATCTCCTAAGTAAAAGTCACGGGAAGCCATACTCCCGGCAGACCTACTTGGCACACTGGGTCTAAATTCTAAATATCTCCTCGTGCATGAGGCGTTAATATAGAGGGCTTCGCGTGGACGAAGGGGTTTGGGTGGATAATGGTAGCGGACAAATACGGTTTCTCCCGAAATCTATCGCCAAATAAACGCCGGACTCTGGGGCACCCAGGGTTAACCGCCAGGCGTGCTAACAGCAACACAACAACCCGCCCCCACGTAACACTAACCAGCGTGCCAGGCCCTGCAGCGTGCCTTTGCCGGTACTGTGGGGCCCAGTGGGGCCAGTAAAATTCGGTGGCCAGCTGGATACGCGCGCCAGGGGGCTGTTGTTGTTAGCGGGCCGGCTAGCTGAACCGGCCACACCAGCGGTACTTTCCTGGATTTGTTCCATTTGATTTCGAAGTTGTTGAAAGAATAAATAATGGATAGAGATCAACTTCTTTTTGTCTTTTTTATTGTCTTCATCTTATGTAACCGCCTTCGTATTTCAGACAGCTTATGCATGAAATTCGCTTGTATTTATATTTTGAACATGTCTAGTTTTGACATATATCTGCTGGAGTACTCTGTATTGATAACTGTTAAGTTAAAAAAAAACGTGATGATAGCCGCCATCGTGAAACGCCTAATCTGCAGTACAGTAGCATATGCCTTCTGACTGGTTAAACAAATGAAAACAAAGAAGAAATCATGTCAAAAGAGCCCAAAATGGAAGATTTAAAAAATCCTGTCAATAGTGCCAAAAGTGGCACTGCTGACAGGACGATCCTGTCAACAGTGTCAAAAATGGCACTGCTGACAGGACGATCCTGTCAGCAATGCAGTATTTCCTGTTATTGACAGGATCGTCCTGTCAGCAGTGCAATATTTTCTGCTATTGACAGGATCGTCCTGTCAGCAGTGCAGTATTTTCTGCTATTGACAGGACGATCCTGTCAGCAGTGCAGTATTTCCTGCTGTTGACAGGACGATCCTGTCAATAGCCTCAGGCTTTCCATATTTGTAATTTAACTTAAACAACTAACATTAAGCCTATGTAAACACGATAATTTCATTTTATTTTGACGGAAATTACCCTTCAATACTATTTGTTTATTTTCAAGTGGTTTACGGGTAGTTCAAAACAGGCCAAACTTGCGTCTTGTAACCTGATACGTTTTCGAACCCCCTTAGCAATGGGAAAGAATATCATAGTGACAGACCGCCGTGGACCAAAGAGTCACGACAGTGCCGCAAATCGTCAGATTGACGTGAAACCCGTAACGCGAAAACAGGACAGGACGACAACTGCTATTCCACCTGATTTATTGCTGTTTTGATGTACAGACTTTTACTACCACCGTTACGGGGGGAAGTGAGTGGAAGAAAAACTAGGTCATCTCACAAACTCGATAGTATCCACTGCAAATCAGAAAGATATAACTCTAGTGCAATACCTCACATGGTGCGACTGTTGAACTTGTAAGAAAAAAAACTGCCCTATTCTAAATTATATTGTATAATGTGTCTTCATGAGATCTTTTAAATATTTTAAATTTGTTATTGTGTAATTTAGCTACAGTATAACTACGCTTTTAATATTGTACCCTATATAGTTAATGTTTTTATCATCTGTTGTTAATGGAACCCCCACGCAATTCAGTCTGTGACTGCCATGTGGGAACCATTGTTATGTGTTTTACATGAAACAAATAAACCAGTATTATTATTATTATTATGATGGATAAAAGAGACTTCTTGCTTGTTACACATGTGTCACCTCATTCAATTTGTGTCCTAACATTTGTCTTCTTTTAGTATATTTCTAATCTAGGCATCTTGTTTTTTAGGGCCCTTCTTGGTTTTTTTTTCGCCCTCTCGCATTAGATTTAGGGTCTCCAAAGGACGTCATCCATAAAATTTACTTGGTGTGGCCTAACAACTAAAGTTCTAATAAACCAGTCTACTGCTACTACTACTATATGGATGACATCCTCTGAAGATCCCAAAACTAGTGCGCGCGGGCGATTAAGAAATGCTGCTAAACCACAGGAATAACAATTTAATCTGGTATTGTGAATTTCTATGTAGTAGTAAATAGTGGCTGGCTTTTACCACAAGCCGGAACATGCAGGCCTTGTGCGGCAGTTATGAATCGGCACTGTACTGATCTATGGCAACCTGGGTTCCGCCCTCAATAGTTAGGCCACAGAAAGTAAATTTTCTGGATGACGTCCTCCGCAGACTCCGAATCTAATGCGATAGGGCGGGAAAAAAACAAGGTGGGCCAAAAACAAACAAGATTCCTACATTTTCAACTTTTGACATCGTAAACTTGTTTAACAAGAAACGGTACCTTTATTGTGATACGTTTACTGCCAACTATTACAAACTGATACAACCTTAAAAATTAAAAATTTGAGTCATTGTACTAATTATATTTTTAATTAGCGGTGTAATCTAATTATTTGTTCAACAAATATTTACATCAAAACACGAAGAATGAAGCTGACAGTAGCTCTCTACATTAGTCATCCTAATCTTATAGCATCCAAGCTAGAGGTCGAGCAAAGTAAAGTAAGTAACTTTCAATAATTAGCTAATTGGTGTGCTAGTCTGTCATAGTTTACGCAAAGAATGTTTATGGTGACTGGAGTGTTTGAGCATTGCGCAATCCAAAGTTCTCCAATGAATCAATTGTGGTTCAGCATGGGGGAAAAATGCTATTGATATCGCTTTACAAACATGCGTAGCACAAGTCGCACAATAAAAGTTCTATGAAAAATCGACTAGTTGTGTATTCATTGGAGCATAATCCATCGGAAAATAGCACTCCCTTCTGGCCTTTAGTACTCCTTTAAAATGGTCACTCCTGGAGAGGTTCTTCAAAGTTGTTGTTTGTTCATTTGTCACACTTGTAGATTCAGCTTTTTCCTCATGACTTGTCAAATATGAAAGACAAGTGGCATTTCCAAACTGCATAGTAACTACGGGTGTTCTCTTACGTGGGTTTTTATGTGTTAGGATAATAAATACTTTAGGTCTGTCCTGAACCCACGCTCCCCACAGATGTAGCGTTTCTCATTTGTGTGTGTTGCTTGATGTTTGTCCAAAGCAGATTTGCGTGCAGAATATTCACACTGGACACAATTGTAGGGTTTTTCCCCTGTATGGATTCTCATATGTTTACATAAGTCAGATTTGTGAGCTGCTCTGTACCCGCACTCCCCACACATGTAGGGTTAATCACGTGTGTTTTGTGAGATGTTTGTCCAAACTGGATTTGCGTGCTGCAGAATAGTCACACTGGTCACATTTGTAGGGTTTTTCTCCTGTATGGGTCCTCATATGCACGGATAAGCTGGACCTTAGGGCTGTCCTGTACCCGCACTCCAAACATATGTAGGGTTTCTCACCAGTGTGTTTTGTGAGATGCTCGTCTAAATGAGATTTCTGTGTCGCAGAATAGTCACACTGGTCACATCTGTAAGGTTTTTCTCCTGTATGGGTTCTCATATGTCGGGATAAGACATGTTTGTATGTTGTCCCGAATTCACACTCCCCACACATGTAGGGTTTCTCACCAGTGTGTTTTGCTACATGTTGGTCCAAAGCAGATTTCCATGCTGCAGAATAGTCGCACTGGTCACACTTGTAGGGTTTTTCTCCTGTATGGGTCCTCATATGTCGGAATAAAGTAGACTTGTGAGCTGTCCTGTATCCACACTTCCCACACATGTAGGGTTTCTCACCGGTGTGTTTTGCTAGATGTTTGTCCAAAGAAGATTTGTGTGCTGTAGAATAGTCACACTGCTCACACTTGTAGGGTTTTTCTCCTGTATGGTTTCTCATATGTCGGTATAGGTCAGACTTGAAAGCTGTCCTGAAGCCACACTCCCCACAAATGTAGGGTTTCTTACCAGTGTGTTTTGCTAGATGTTTGTCCAAAGAAGATTTGTGTGCTGTAGAATAGTCACACTGCTCACACTTGTAGGCTTTTTCACCTGTATGGTTTCTCATATGTCGGTATAGGTCAGACTTGAAAGCTGTCCTGAAGCCACACTCCCCACAAATGTAGGGTTTCTTACCGATGTGTGTTGCTAAATGTTTGTCCAAGTTAAATTTCTGTGCAGTAGAAAAATCACACTGGTCACATTTGTAGGGTTTTTCTCCGGTATGGGTTCTCATATGTTGGGATAGATAGTCCTTTCTAGCTGTCCTGTGCCCACACTCCTCACACATGTAGGGTTTCTCTCCAGTGTGTTTTGCTAGATGAACGTCCAAACTGTGTTTCCGTGCTGTAGAATAGTCACACTGATCACACCTGTAGGGTTTTTCTCCAGTATGGGTTCTCATATGTTGGGACAAATAGTCCTTTCTAGCTGCCCTGTACCCACACTTTTCACACATGTAGGGTTTCTCACCGGTGTGTTTTGTGAGATGATTGTCCAAGGTACCTTTTCGTGCTGCAGAATAATCGCACTGGTCACACTTGTAGGTTTTTTCTCCTGTATGTGTTCTCATATGTTGGGATAAGTGATACTTTCGAGCTGTCCTGTACCCACACTCCCCACACATGTAGGGTTTCTCACCGGCGTTATGCAAGTTGACTTGTTGTGCTGCCGCCTTGTTTTTAGCATTTTTGTTTTGCTAACCTGAGAAACCCCAATGGGAGACCCATCACATGAGTTCTGACAAACTCCGGTTGGAGACCTTTGTTCTGCTTTTGCCATGTTTTTGTTGAGCCTGATGAGAAAATAAAGAACTTATAAGGGTAAAGCTTTATATACCAGACTTACGATTAGCAAAATATACATATATTTCTAATTCTAACGTGATCAGGCTTTGACCTAATTATTTACAACTCAGCAAATAGTGAAAAAACAAGGTGTTTTTCAGTTGAACGCCTTATGCGTACTTGCAGATCTTGTATTTACTTATTTGCATTTATATTTATATCATTGTATTTGTTTTAAAACCATCACAATATTCTAAACAGCTGTTTTCCTAATGTATGTCGTACATTAATGTGGTCAGGGGTCCAAATATGTTTGGTTTCGCCCCCCTCCCTCATTTCCACTACATTTTTATCCCGGAAATTTCTATAAATTACATCGTCCTACTGCGGTCCTAAGTCTTCTTCCACAGAAATAGCCTTAATATATTGACCTTAACTGTTAACATCTGGATATTTTTCTGTTCGTGTCTATGTCTTACCTGCTTCCTATGATGGTTTTTCTCTCGCATTACATATTTGGTAACCATACTATCCGTTTTCACATATCAATTTTACATGTTTCCAAATTTGTACTTAACGTTTCTTGCGAATCCAGTTAACATTCCCATATTTCTATATTATTCCACGTCCTCCAAAAAACGCCACTTTGCCTGATGGAGCATGACGTACATGTACGTGGCGAGGGTCCAACCAATTCCTTTCTCAAATGCATGTTTGGTTTCGCCCCTGCTAGTTTGCTTCATTGCGTTATCAAATAAAATGTTAAGACCACTTACAAACAGCTTCTACAAACAGCTTCTACAAACAGCGCAGAATTATGAAGATACACATGCTGCAAACTAAAATAATGGAAGTCCTCCGAAAATTCTCTTTGTAATGTATACGGTATAACCGCTTTATATCGACGAACAATGGGTTTGAAATATTTGTTTTCGCCCGTCGCGTGCCACCGGCGGATCAGTGTAAATTGGCTTCCCTGCAAGTGAAAGAACCGGATCCATGGGCCTTGATTGATAAATTATTCATAAATCGGTCGCCGCTAGAATGGCATTCAGTGACAAGCGCCCCCTCCCCCTTCAATTCCACAAAATACCATCTCGAAAACCTCTATATATTTTCGTCCTACTGCGATCCTTCTTCCACAGAAATGACCTAAAGCTAATCTTCTCAACATCGGAATAATTTTCTGTTCGTTTCTAAGCCTTACCTGCTTCCTATGACGGTTTTTCTAATTCCCGGAACTGGTGCTGCTTTGTCTTTCTGTCGTCTCGTGAGGTCAGAGCTAGAGGTGAACTGTATTATGGTCAAAGGTGAAGTTATCTGCCTGATTACCTATGTGGGAGGGTCTGCATGGGGGTCCTGGCAACGGTTAACGGTAAATTCAGCAGGGCCGATAACACTTAATGGTAAATTCAGGACGGTCGGCAACGCTTAACGGTAAATTGACAGCTAGGCTTTTTTCCGAGCTGCACTGGATTTGGTATCTCGCTTGGTGAGAAAAGGTGATCACTGACAAAATTACGTATTAACTTACATGTAATGAAGAACGCATTAAAGGTATGTGTTCCCTGTGTTTCCCACCTGCCCTGGTCCCCGAGTGCGTCCACAAAATGACAAATAAAAAGGAGTCCTCCGAGTCGACGTCGGCCAGGGCTCTACCCAGCTAGCTTGGCTTTTTTCGTCCGCCCAATTTTACCGATGGATTTTAGCTCGCAATCTAAGGGGGTCCGGGGGGATGCTCCCCCGGTTAATTTAGGTTTTAAGCCTTCAAAAGCGCAATTTCCCGCATTTTGAGAGGCAAATCATGGTGTTGAGAGTGTTTGTCGGTCCTTCTGATGTTTTCATATTGTTACTCAAGATTTTTGTTAATTTTGACTGTCAAGGTTGACGGATTCGTTAAAAAAATTCTCAGAAGTAACTCTCCGCAAACTTCCGGTAAAAAAAAATTCGAGCGTTGCGGAGCGAAAATCCGGATGGTACCCAGGCTACCTCTGTCGCGGGAAGAATTGGTGATTGGTGTATTCACCGTTAACTATGATTCGCTTCCAAGCCTTTGGGTTATACCAAACAGGATCTCTGGAGTAGGGCAAGTTTTTGTCATGGCCTGCGACTATATACCCGTTTACTAGGCCAATGTCGACCATTTCAGTTTGCAAAGGGTTCTGGTGGAAACTACGGTATAATATTGCTTGGCAAATTTTGATGTACTAGTAATGCTGTATTGCATAGTCCACCATAACCTGCTTGATTGCACTGCATTTGCAGTCACCTGTTAATATGCTTTTGATCTGCTTGGAGATAGCGACATGAAGTTATAGCGGTTATGAAGTAAACTGCAGCTAAGGGTGTCTGCCTTCAAAATCTCGCGAGACCCACGGAATTTTTCCAAAATGGCGTCACCTCAGCGGGAGGAAGAGCTCGATCCGAGAATTCAGGTACTTTCTCTCTTCTTTTACACCTAAATGAGACAGTTTTACGTATTTCCTTTCTAGTATGATGTGCTGCATCTCACCTGTGAATGTAGTTTTCCATACTACGCGAGAAACGTCGTATTTTAGTGACCAAAACGCTGTGCTTGAAGTGAAAACATACCGGGATTTTCGGAGGGTAGGAAAGCTGCTGACAAGACAAGACGTAATTTAGCGGAAACTAATTTGTGATCTGACATAATCTTGTTTGTTACGGCTCGTCATACGGATGGCAGATTATCCACGCCACTTGAATTTAAATCGCTAGATGTGATATGACGCTGAAAGCAGAGTCAGACGATTTCGTAGCTGAGTATATAAATAAAATGCGTAACGTTACTTACAGTAAAACAACCAGTACTAGTCTACAGATATACCGTTATGTTTATGACCGCTAGCCAAAAATATGGCCAACTCTTTATGGCCTAGGTCATATCCACTGAAGAAAATGCAAAGAAATAACAACAACAAAAGATCATAAAAGGAAATATTTAGCTTACATCGTTGCAGGCCACATGAATTATTTCTTTGGAATGTATGATGGTAAGTTACATGTATAATTTACATGTTTTCCTTCTAGTTGTAAATACTAGTTGCCATAATATAATTTTATTAATTTTTTGAAATTTCTTTATTTAATTACCAGTTCAGTTCTCTGTACAGTGACAGAATGCTGTTGAAAAATCACAAGTAGAATACTGGTACATATGTAGTCTTTGTCTATGCACAAGGGAACAGCCAACCTTTCTGTTTACCTTTCAACTGAAACAAATATTTTTTTAGGCAGGCCTGCTTGTCTGTTGTCAGTTCAAACACAGGGAGTGAATCCCTTAACCTTCTCCCTGCTGCCTAGCCTGTGTAACAGTGGGGGGTTTATAGGCGCTACCATCTGATTCGGCAAACAGGTCTAGACCTTTTAGCGGAGAGGTTAGAGTGTCTGACTGGGGCCCGGGAGGTTGTGGTTTCGAACCCCGGCCCGGGACCAGTGGGGTTTTTACTGTCTCCTCCTTTTTATTACAGTGGACAGTGGTGGTTCCCACACCGGCCCTGGGAGTTCTGGCAAAGAGTGCCACTCCAGGGATGTCGAATTCGGAAGATTCGAGGACAAATCTTGAAAAGAAAAGGGGGAGTAGTGTAACAGTGGGGGGGTTTATAGGTGCTACCAACTGATCCGGCAAATGGGTCTAGACTGGGGCCCGGGAGGTTGTGGGTTCGAACCCCGGCCCAGGACCAGTGGGTTTTTACGGCTTGTTTCTTACACCTGATTAAATCGCTTTACGGTTGCCGGCCGTCCAACATCCAGACGGCCCCCGAATTAAAGGGGCCACTAAAGCTGCAGACGGCAGAGTTTGCATTACACAGACTACCTGCTGCCTTTACCCCATAAACAATACACAGCAGGGCTCGAAATACTTTTTTCAGCCAGGTGGCGCATGTTGCCACCTGAGTCAAAAGCCAGGTGGCGCCATCAGTATTCAAGTGGCAACACTTCCAAGTTATCATTTTCTTCAAATCTGCCACTTATAGTTATATCTATTACGCGTTTTCTTCTAGTTAACTACTTAAGTTTTATGTTATAAAATAAAGTAATGTAAAGAACACAAAAGCTCTCAAACAATTTTAATAAAGAAACAGTTTTAATAAAGAATGCCACCTTTACATGTCTTCATCACAGGGCTGTCGCCGTGGGAATGCCACGCCTCTACATGGTGGCACACTTATGCGGGTGGTGTTACGTGCGCCATGTTCTTCGTTTGCGCAAGGATAATGTTACTCTCATCTACCAAATAAACATACCCCCCGGAATAAACATACCCCCCGGACAAATCTTCAAAATCTAATGAAAAATGGTATTAGCTCCCAGTTGATTTAAAAAAAAAATTGGGCATAGGTTCCCCGGATGACCCCTAACCGGGGGCCAACGGTGCTTCCACAAGTTCAACAAGTGAAAAATACATGATACAAAATGTACATGTATTTACTACCTGGAACTTGGAGCAATTTATTCCAAAGATGTTAACTGACATTAATATATTAAAAACTAAACCAAATCCTATTTCTCAAACAAATCACATATTGACACAGCTGAACAAATAAAACTGTGATCATGTTTATAAACTCCACTCAAAAACAATTTTTGAGAGACACTCGGGTCACAGTACTAAGCGTGATAATCTCTAATATCTCATCTGATTCTCCCAATATGTAAAGGGTCTTTACAATGACAGCATCCAACCGCACATACATAGAAACAAAAATATTACACAATAAACCAATAAATTCGGAAAATTTCTCAGTAATGTTTGAAAATTAACCTTACTAAAATATAAGTGAATTTTTATTTCAGTTGTAGCCGAAAAAATATTTTTCATGCGTTTAAAGTATCGTTTTAGCACTGTAATATGTACTTATTACATGTATCTATACATTTGGATGCTATCTTGACCTTTGACCATTGTTATTGTGAAAACAGGTCGGCCATGTTGTCTTTCTCGCCGTCAATTTTCGAGCCGTTTTTTCGAGCAAATTTCAACCGTTTTAAACATTTTACGGCCTCAAAAACTCATATAACGAGGAAAACAAGTTGTAGTTGCTATTTTCATGCGTAACATTTCTTCTGGGGATGGATTATTTTTCCGTCGAGCTGCCGAAAACTTAGCGGCATGCCGCAACCATGTGGTCGGGCGCGGCCGGCCGGCGGGAGTTTTACTTTGTATCGGTGAGCTTTCGCGATGTAAACAAAGACAGTCGGAGTTGTTTACAGAAAATTTTGTTGTGAAACGCCAGCGGGGTGTCAGATTTTCTACCAATGACAACGTTTTCTTTGCGGCGTCATGGCGAGATCGACAATTCATCGTCAATTCACAGGATTGTGCCAACAATGGAAATTATGAATAGCGACCCGACCCGTGCAATTAGCGCTCGATCCACGCCGCCCGACCGAAGAAAATTGTAATGACGAGCACATTTATCGGGGATAAAACTCCCAATTTTGAAAATTTT